TTGTTAAAAAAAGTGATGAACCGATGACCGCACGTAAAAGAAAAAACTATTACGATAAACTATGGTAGAACAAATGTCTGAAAATCGAGAAAGTTTGTCAGTTTGAACTCGAGAATAAAATTCGAAAACATATTAGTTTTTCCAAAGCATAGCTAATCAATACATGGATTCTAAATTCACAACTACATGTTTTTGGTATGTGTGTTTAAGATGCACCTGTCAGAMTTTAGTGTTTTTTGTTTTAKTATGGTTTTGATGGCCTAAGGCCTGCGGCACGATTATAAAATGCAGCGAATTAACTTTTTCCCAAGTCGCAGTTTAGCGATCCCAAGGGACCAGGTTCCCAGGTTCGATTCTCGACTCGTGCACATCTTAAAAATTATTTCTTTTATTTTCTTTCTTTCTCTTTTTTAAACTGAAATATTGTTGTTTTAGTTATGTTAGATTTTTATCGTAGCAATTTATTGTATTAATATTTACGAGCCGTTTGTTAAATTCTAGAAACAAGATGATAYTCGAGCAGGGGCGTCGAACCTGAGGATCGGGAGTTCGAATCTCAACTCAACCAGTCTTGTTTTTTTCTTTCTTTTCTTTTAGGCCAAGGTTATACGCCGAATTTAATTCTTCCGTAYCAAATTCAAGTTTTTATTGTTAATCGCGTGATAGYCATTGTTTTAAGCTCACTYACATTGTAAGCGAMACTTTWGCCTTCTTCTCTTGCACTAAATTAAACTTAAATAATTCCAATTCTTAGTTACTTATGAGCAACTTCTCTTTGTAGCRTAGCTTCCCTTCTCATAACTGGTACGTTAAGATCAAATGTCAACGTGATGTTCAAGAAAATATTCAGGATATTAAAAAGGGTTAATATCGAAATGCCGTAAGTACCCTGGTTAATGACAACCAATACATAATGATGCAGTAGAACCAATTTCTAAAGAAGAATGTCCTTCGTAAATTTCAATTTATGACAATTAATAACAATATTTATGACGGGCTAAATA